CATTAATTGCTTAATAAATATGCATTTAAATATGAAATTTATCGCGAAGGTCTGCACGCGTATCACACTCACGATACTTCTTTGCATTTTTCGAAACGATCAGTTAAAGAACATGGAAGGAGGATGAAGCGGAGGAGAAGAATGAATGTCGACAAAATCGACGGTGGACGAAGAGTAGGGAGAAACGGCGAGACTCTGAGATGAGGGATGCACGGCGTGACGGTCTAATTGAGGCCTTCTTGATTGCATTTACACCGCTGCACAGCCTCCCGTATCCCAGGTATCCGGTATCAGTGTTCCCCGGCCTTTGCCTCCTTCGTCCTTTCATTCCCTCCTTTTCCCTTATGCTCCGTTTTCTCCGTTCGGTTATTTTATCGCCCCTATTTTCATTGGACCGAGTCCTCACCACCCTGATCTTTCGCTTATCGTTAATACGTATGTATACTACGCACATTGTGTAAATTTTCTCGTTAACGTCAACGCATAACACGGAAAGGAGAATAAATACACCCTGAAAGAGCAAGTATAATTTATTCACCGATGTTATCTCGTCGTTCTCATCGTTATGTGTGTAAGTATACTCTCGCTCGGTGCTCTTCATTCTTTTACTGAAGAACCAGGTAATCTATACAGAAACGTCGATCATCGATTAAACGAGCCTTTCAGGTTCGACGACACCCTGTATTATACGAAGTATTTAAATGCAATATTCAATATAATCCGCATATGTAGTAAAGTAAAAAATAACTCTTTTGTTGCTAAATTAGTTTATGAATTTGTTACTTAATTATGGAATCATTAGTTATTCGAATCGACTGAAGATCAAGCATCCTGATAAAAGAAAAGGAGAAAAACGGAATCTGAGTTTTGGAAGTTTACAGGTAAGGTCAATAGTTCCTTGGACACACATAAAATCCCGCGACTACCGCCATTAGTTACTGGCGCGATCGCGGAATACCATCCAGTGCGGAGCCTTATTAAGCCCTATTAAGACTTAATTTATTTCCTTATCTGTAAAAAAAGGGACGGGGTTACGACCAGTCGAGGGCCGGAGGAGTAATGATATAATTCTGACCAACGCCATTTGCACTCGATCGCATCGGCGCACACGTAACCCCACGGTGTGTGCGATACAATTTACGCGTCTATGTCTGTGTAGCGTGCACGTCGCAGTTTGATAAATAATGAACGCCCACGATCGCGCCGCGTGACCCTTTCCGTATCGAACGGAACAAACGTTCTCGATCTTGTCTCGAATTGAAATCTATACGACATACGACGGGTTCAATTTTGAATAAGTTATGAAAAGAAATTTGTTTAAGTTATAAAAACTTAACTCAAAATTGAAGTTGAAAAATTGAATTGAAAAGATGAAAAATGTTACGCTTTAAGATTCAAATAAACAGAGTCAATTCTCAATTCGTTATGTAAAATTCTTGCTTAGTTCCGTTTTATGGAACAAGGAACTGTGCAAGAGAATTGTCCTACGACGTTGTGGTTATGATATCTCTCTGTGGTTTACGCGTTCTCTGTGAGAAAACGTTTCTTTAGAGCGTCTATAACGTAGGAAGAAAAGTATAATGAAAAACAACATCGCATTTATAATAAAAAATTGTACGAATAACAATTTGTCAATTTTCCTTTGTTAAAGTAAAGTTAAGGTAAGAGTATCTCAAATTTCAAGACGTTCGGGAGCAACGCAGAACAGATCGAACGGTTAAATGAAATAATATCTATATTCCGGGACAGATGGATGCGGCGGGTATTGCGGTTTACACCTTTGGTGGGAAAGGACAAGGCATTCGCGTAGGACTATTCCTTGTTTGCGATTCGCCGCGTGGTGTTGCGCGTTATTAGCGTAAAGGGGCGAGTTAGCCGCAATCGCGATGGTAATTTGCGCGTTTGCCCGTCAGTGCCGGCGAGTGGAATTGCGGTGTCGCGTTACCTTACGTGATAATGCGACGCACCATAAATCTAAAACCTCTGCCGTACGTCGTACACGGTCGAGTAATAACGTGAGAGAAGCTGCGCTGAGAAGAGACCCTTCGACTATTAGGACAACGGTTCTTGGTTTTTTGTTAAGTTTCACTCGAGTCCAGATTTTCGATAGATCTGTCGATGTTCTGTGAACGTTTTTAAAAAGTTATTCTGGATACTTGAAGAG